CTGTGCTCAGCAGAGATACAGACGAGACAGTGACGTGGCCCCTTCTCATCATGGAGAGTAGGAGTCAGTATTTAGCCATTTTAGGCAACTATTTGTCAACATGAAGATACTAGGCCAATAAGAATATAGAAGAATCTATTCTTGCATCTACATACACAGATATGCATCTAATTTCAACCCTATTTTCCAAAGGCCGAGGGAGATTTGTGACATTACCAAACCAGTTGACTGTGTCTAGAAAGATCCCTCTCCGTAAACCCAATTTGCACAGAAATGTCAAAAGACTGAATTCTTCCTTCTTTCTCTCCATTGTATTTTTGCAGAGCAAGTTGAAAAGGAAATGGGTGAGCATGTCTAGTGCCTTGGCCACATTTACACAGTCTTGGGAGAGAGCAAAGAAGAGGATCCAAACCAGGAGTCCCTGTTCATCAAGGAGCTCATCTCTCCCCTGTTCCTTGTACAGCATCTCAGAGGGGAGAGAATGAAGGGCAGTCTGACAATGGGCACAGCTGCCCACCCCATGAGCGGAATAGAAATGCTGCTGGGCAGAGCTCAGGAGGCAGGAGACAGGAGGACAGAATTGCTAGAGCTGTGCATGAGCTGCAAGAGCTGAGTCCATGCAGACACCCCACACAGCCACAGGGACACAGAGAAAACAATGCCCCTCTCGCAGAGTTCCCAAGATTCCTCTCCCTCCACCTGTAAAGAAAAGGTCTCATGAGGGTCTGCCGGCTCTGACCAGGGTTTCAAATCCCTTTAATGCAACATTTTGTTGAATTTCACAGCAATAAGTGCTAGGGAATGTATCAAAGAATGGTTTAAAATACTGTCGGTATTGGCTTTGTTTACAGCTGTGGTGAATAAGGACTTAGGTCAACGATAACCTATGTGCACACTTGCTATGGCCCTGAACTTCAATTACTTGGATATTTGCCGAGGGGAGGGGGCTCTTTTCCTCTCTCTCCTCTGTCTCTTGGCTTCTTCTGGTAGGGAAGTGGATCCTGACTGTACATTTTCATTCATTCTCAGCCTTAGCAGGGAATGCAGCAGCTCCAGACAGACCCACTGCTTCTCCCCACACTGCTCACCCATAGTGACATTCTCCCTGTTGTACATCTAAATCTGTGGGGAAGGACAGAGCCACAGACACACTGGCAGCTCAGGTCAGGCCACAAACTCTTCATTAGTTGCCATTAGGGAGGCAAAGCAAATTCTATGCCAATATCTGTTAGTGATGATCAATCACCCAAACATTAACCATCATTACCACGAATTATTCCAGCTATCTAGTTATCAAGTTGTCTTGTTCTTTTTTCACTTAAAGTCAACTCGAGTTTGCACATTGTAATTCATTTACTGAGTACTGTACATCGATGGTATGAGGGAAAACACTGAAGAAATTTTTTAAAGGAGTCGTTACTGATGTAGTCTTTTCTTTTTTCCAGATAAATTGAGGAATAAATTAGGTGAGCTAGCTGACCTCTGTGAGTATGTACATGGGGAACAAATATTTGATAATAGCCTCCTTAATCTGGAAGAGAAAGGTGCAACAAGTTCTAAAGGCTGGAAGTGAAGCTAAAGAACCTCAGATTGGAAATAAAATATCTCTATATAAGTGAGATTTATGGGCAATTGGAACAATCTACAAAGTTTCTTGCCAGATTTTGTATCACAGATCTTTTAAAAAGCATGGTTGTGTGGTTTTCCATAGAAGATCAGCTCTAATAGAATTGGAAATTTGTGTGTCATGAGCATTCGTGATTGTTAGGATGGGTGATGGGAAGACATTTTTGCATGGGTAGACCTGAGAAATACACCCATTTACTTACTGAAAAATGTTTCATTCCCCAGATACAGAAAGGACAATAGGTCGTGCTGAGCCAGGTAAGATTTACCTTGTCTACCCGAGTGCATTTGAAAGAAGATTTTTTAAAACCATTGATTTTAAGGCTTACTTTTCCATTGTTTTCTGAGTAAATCTGTTATGATTTCTTGCCTGTTTCATTCTTCAGCTTGAAGTCCAGTGAAGACCGTAAGGGCACCACATTTAACAACATTTTGTGTTTTTAAAATATGAAATTGATGGTTTCCTAGCTCAAAAGGTATTGCGCCCAGCACAGGGTAACCATGCTTTGGATGCTGTTGTGCCTGGTAAAGATCAATGGATTAGTGGAGATGGCAATGATGGTGGAAGCCAGACTTAATTACATTTAATATGGAGAAAGGGCAGTCTCAACACACTTTGCATGTAGTCAGGGCTTCCAATGGGCTATTTTCCCCAACTATCGCTTATATCCGCCACCATGGGAAATGCAACAAGTCTCCATGACAGCTAAAACAGTTGGTAAAGGCTCTGTGCCCATCACCTGTTATGGCCCATATCTATGGTACTACCTAAAGAAAGGATCCCATTCACCATCTGGTTTTTGACCAGGGATGGGCAAAACACAGCACCCCCTCCCCCCCCACAAGACAAAGCCAGACTGCAAAATTACCTGATCCAGCCTGAAGACTCAGCAGGGCCCTCACCCCAAGCCCACTAGTTGCTCGGAGCAGCTATTTTAATTCTTTGTGGTCACAAGGGAAGGAGGCTTCACCCGCTGTATCCGCTACCTGAACAATCTCTGTTTCACTGGTCAGTTTCTGGCCAATGGGAGCTCCCTCTTTGCAGGACAGGCAGTCAGTAAATGATCTCTCCTCCCTGAGCTCACAGCATTCAGAGGGGACATGGCTCCTGCCTGGCTGAGGATCTTGCTAGGGAGGCCTACTGACCAGGAGCCACCCAAATAAGTGCCTCCCAGCTAGATCCTGCTTCTCTCCCTCTTACCCAACCCTCTGCCCCTCTCCTGCACCCAAACCCCAGATAACCCAAACGCTGTATGACCCACCCCCTCCCATATCCTCAACCTGTCCTCCAGTTCACAACCTCCTCCTGTTCTCACAACACACTCCTCTGTTTCCACTCACAACCCAAAACCCTGCATTCCAGCCCGATTCCACAATCATTTCCCAGACTTTTCACCTCCTCCTCCAGGACAGAAGCCACTTCTGTACCCATGCTTGCGCCCAATCCTGTACCTCTTTCTGCACCCCAGTATCCTGCTCCAGCTCACAAACCCCTCTTTTACTGAAATTCCCTCCTAGATCCCTTGAAACAATCCCTTAGTCCAAGCTGCCTTCTGCATCCAGCCTCCATTCCAGACCCTGCTCCTCCTCCGTTAATATCAGAGAATCCTGCAGGCCTTGACCACTCCCCAAATTCTTGTTTTGCCCCCCATCAGAAATTATAGCCGGTCCTTCTGATAAATTATGCTGCCCTAACACACCTTTGAAGGAGTTTATCAGGGGCATATCGCATGTCTGCATCCACATCTGGAAACACAATTCACACATCATGTAGCTTCTCAGCATTTCCATAATAAAAGTGTCCAACAATAATGGAAACCATGTCTTTGTTTTTTCACAGTAAACCTGCAAAGGAGAATGGGTAAGTCTCGTTTTCACCTTGAAATTCTTCAAATGCACACAAGTCTTTTACAATGGAAAGAGGAAAGATTTAGGGTTAAAATACTCCCTTCTCTGCTGACATTTGGTGGGATTGGAAAGAGCACACAGGACTGCGGGCCACAACTGTGTTATACTGCTCCAGTTTGTTCCATTTCTAAACTGTTCTCCGCATTGCTGTCCAAGTGTCTCCAAGAATATCAGCCCTTCCAAAATACCTGCAGTGAAAATCAAAGTCAATTCAGCACTCTGGCTGAAAAATCCACATGGCAAATGATGGAGTAAAGCCAACCCAACCTCTGGTGTAGATGGTGACAGTTTCATTGACATATTCCGACCTCATTCTAGCGACTGTCCCTCTGGTGGATTATCTATATTGTCAAGAGAGTTCTTTCCACCACCCGAGGGAGAGTGACTACACTGAAGAGCTATAGAGAAGCGCTCACGTGTAGACAAGCCTGCTGTAAAGCTAACCGACAGGCAGGAAGGGAATGCGGGTATAGAAATGATTCCTCCTGAAACTGAATTTGGACCATCACACACTGACTAAAGAATGTCATTTCATTGCTTCTGTCATGGCAGATGTCCTTGTAAATTAGGTATGAACTGGCTGTAACCACCTGCATTGGTCAAAAAATGGTTAAGGGAGGAGTCTGTAAACTATCTGCTGTAGTCAAAAGAGGAACTATTATAGGGCATTCCTCCCTCTGTGTTCTTCGGGAGATCAGAGGAAACGATGACGGTTTCCCCTTCTCACCATGGAGACTAGAAGACGGTATTAGCCATTTTGGCAACTATTTGTCAACATGAAGGTACTAGGCCATTATAAATATACTAGAATCTATTCTTTCGTCTACATAAGCAGAAGTGCATCAAATTTCAGTCTTATTTTCCAATGGCCAAGGGAGGCTCCAGTGATGACTGTGTCTAAAAACATCCCTTTCTGTAACCCCAATTTGCACAGAAATCGGAAGA